AGAAATTCCACTGCAAAAGTATCCTTACAGGGAAGATTATTTTTTTAATGCTCATAAATGTTCTAGAATTAGTGGGTGTATAACTTCCTGAATATACTATAAACTGTAGAATGTTATACTGTAAAAGGGTAAATTTGATGATACATGAATTATATCTCAATTTTTAAAAAAAATCACAAAAAATATCATTTAAAATAGCAAAAAACTAGAAACAACCAAAATGCTTAGTAACAGAATTTATACCATATATTGTGCGGTATGAATTTTAAATATGTATATTAAAAGTGTGTGTGAGAGAGAAATATTAGGTGAAGCAGAGACATAAAAGAGTATTACACACCATGACAGGTCTATATATAATAATCCAATATAAATCACATAGAACTCAGAGTCGCTGTAAGAACATTGCCGGCTACCTCTCCTTGCAAACTTGGAAGGGGAACAACATTTCCATTTGTAAAGTATTTCCGTGTACATTATCTGACTTAATCCTTAAAACCACCCCGAGAGGTTATCAGCATTATATGGAGCTATGCTGAAGGTCACAGCCTTCAGAACCAGGACCACAAACCCCCTCCTCATTGCCTCTACAATATAGGAGATCCAGGTTTTTTCAGCAAAAACAGATTTTTTTTTTAAAGCAAAAGAATAATAACTAAAAGCCAGCTGCAATCCCTACCAACACCTTCTGGGATTACTAAAAATAAAAAGAGGTGAGGGCCAAGGAGAGCACGGGTGCACTGGCCGGCCGGCTGTCTGGCATGCTCTCTGGACAGGAGGCCAGGCAGCTGCCCTAGGCTCGCCTTGCAGATAGCTCTGCAGATGGGGCGGGAAGGGGAGCTAGCCCTGCTGAGCGAGCTCCCAGCCCCTGCTGGCAGCCTGGGATGGAGGGCAGGGCAGCTGGTGTGTGCCTGGGAGGACCCTGGCTGCCTTGGTCCCTTGGTGAGAAGCACTGAGCAGTCACTCCAACCCCCAGAGGTGAACAGGCACCAGGCTCCTTTCCCCAGTGTCCAGAGAGGGACCCTCCCACACACAGCTGCCCTCAGGAGCTCTCCCTCATTCCCAGAGGGGAAACTAAGGCAGCAGAGAGACTGTTTTTGAGCACATTCTGCTAGGAATGCCAACTGCTGACAGCCTGGCCAGACTGGGAGGCTGTGCCGCAAGGTGGTCAGAGCTGCCGGAGACCTTGGTTCCAATTCCAGCACTCCCAGAAGAGGTAGCCCGACCCAGACAGCTCAACACTTGCCCGTTAATGGCAAGGTCCCTCCTGCCTACAGAGCCTTTCCCATTGCCATGAGGAGGGCCAGCCAGGGTCATCTCCTCATAGAGGCAAAGTGACCGTCCTTCTATGGTGCATGCTGCTGCTTCAGGAAACCCTAGTCAGGGTACCCAGGGTATCTGTGACTCCCAGGGGCTCACTGGATGGGGACTCCTGGGAAGAACACCCCAGGTTAGACTGAGAGGGAGCTAAGTGCTGGATCACTTCTTCCTTTCCTCCCCCCTCCGGCCTGTGCAGCAGCCTTGACTCTGCAGCAAACTCCTCTGGGCCAGAGGCTGCAGCAAAAAAAAAAAAAAAAACCCAAAAAAACCCCCAAACCTCAGCCATAGAGGGAGGGAGCCAGGGAAGCAGCTTCCACCCATTTGTGAATGGGGGTGGGGTAAGATGTTCAAATGACCTTGCAGCTCAGAAGTCCCCGTCCCAGAGTCTACAGCATCTCTGGACCAGGAAGGCTCCATTTCCCAGGCCTGGCTTGTAGCCCCTTCCCTTCCCAGCACCCAGGGTGGTGGTCTGAGCTGCCAGCGGGTGCCTGGTTGGTCCAGGGCTACCCCTGCACAGGAGTCAGCCAGGGGTGCACAGCTGCAGGGCAGTATGCCAGCTGGGGGATCTGCCAGACCACTGGGCAGGGTCAGAGAGGGAGGGCTGGGGGAATGGAGGGAGAAGGGCTTGTGTACTTTGTCCTGCTTAATGGTCAGACTGCAGGGCTCCGAATCCTGTGGTGGAAATGCTCTGCCCACTCTGGCCCACCACAGAGGCTGCCAGAAGGGCAGTCTCTGCTTCAGCCTGCTCCCCCTACACGGACTTGCTGGGTACAGCGCTCCTGGCTGTGCTGGGGTGTGTTGTAGGACTGCAGCTCCTGTTCTTTCTCTCTAGCCTGAACCCCAGACAGGGGGTCCCCTGACAGTCTGGAGCAGTGCTTAAGCCACCAGCAATGCACCAGACTACCTTCTCGGGATACAGACAAAGGCGTGTCCTCTGGCACATAGACACACTCATTCTCTTGCCAAGTGCCCACCATGTCCGAAGGCCCCACTACTGGGGGGGGGGGCACAGTGGCAGGTAGTCACCCCTTATTACCAGCCATTCTGGGCCAGTGTACACAACTGGCAGGCAAACAGGCCACCCAGGGAAACCCAAATCTCAGGACAAATGCAGTCCTGTTGACCACTCTGACAAGGACGCCGAGCTGAACTAGCCCACCTTGGAGACACCTTCACTAGTTGTAAGCCCTCAGGACAGGCAGGCTCTCTGCTGCCTGTCCTCTGCCTGGATGCCCTTTGCCTCTGGGCTAAAGGCACAGAACCCAGCTGAGTGGAAAGGCTTTGTGCCCTGGGGCTGAGGGGCAGGGGCAGTGTGACCCTACCCCTCAGAGCCCCACAACTCAGAACCCACACAGCAGCCTTGAAGACAGAACCCCAGATGCCTTTCCCTCCCCGACCTTGGGGATAGCCAGCCCCAGCCATTGTGTTCAAATAGCAAACAGACCTTCCCAGGCTTCTGCCTTTCTGCCTTGTCTTTGCTATTCTTTCCCTAAAAGCCAAAGGTGCCTTTCTTGGAATAATCAGGTCTGCAGTCTCCCTAGCCCCTGCCTCCACAGGGGCCTTACCAAAATCCCGCAAATGACATGAGATGCCTAGAAGGAAATGGGGTGGGAGGGTTGGGAGAAATAAGAGGTGATTGTGCCAATGGGTAACTGAACATTATGGGTCTTCTTAATCCCAGGGTGGGCACAGGAAGAGAGGCAGAGAGCAGTCCATGGTTCCCATGAATAGGCAGAGAGAGGTGCAGGTGGCCGCCACTGGCCCATAGCAGGGAGGCAGGGCCACACTCCCTTTCTGCTCCAGGCTCTGCCCCTGTCTGTAGCTCATCTCTCTGCAGACAAAGCAAGGACAAGGAGCAGCGCACAGGCCTAGAGGGACATCAGACACTCAAGCACAGGAGGAGACCCATGGCCTGGGCCCTTGCTGAGGACCAGGACAGGAGACCAAGAAGGGCTGTGGGAGGGTTCCCCCAAGGCTAGCTGCTGGGGGACAGGACCTCTCTTCCAATGCGGGTTCTGAGTGGAGAAGCCAGACCCTTCTCCAGCATGGCCACGTTCAAGGCCTGGCTCAGGAAGTCCTGCCTGGCCGCCTGCCCCCCAAAGCACTGCCCGCCTAGGACTCAGTGTCACCGTCAGAGTGTGATCATATTGTCACCCCTTCTGATTCAGAGAATCTGTGCAGAATCAGGGGACAGAGGCTACACCTGAGATCTCACCGCAGCGCTTCAGCCCTGCAGAGAGCTTCTACTAAATACATTCAAAGAGGAAAACAGAGAAAGCTGAAGAGAGTCAACAAGGGGAAAAGAAAGAAAAAGAAAATGGCAAAGAGAAAAAATGAGTTAAAGAGAAAAAGAGGGCTAGGAGCCTGTGGCTCAAGTGGCTAAGGTGCCAGTCATGTACACCTAAGGTGGCAAGTATGAATCCAGCCCGGGTCCGCCAAATGATGACTGCAACCAAAAAAAATAGCCAGGCGTTATGGCAGGCACCTATAGTCCCAGCTACTTGGGAGGCTGAGGCAGGAGACTCGCTTGAGCCCAGGAATTGGAGGTTGCTGTGAGCTGTGATGCCACGGCACTCTACCCAGGGGGAGACAGCTTGAGGCTCCATCTCAAAAAAAAAAAAAAAAAGAGAAGAAGAGAAAGAGACCGACCTCCTAGTGCCCCTGGGTCTGAGGGCTCTGGGCCCTCCCCCCAGGCCAGGTGCACACGGTGGGGTGGGCGTGGGGCCACGGCCTCCACTGCTCCCACTGCAGCTGCAGAAAGCAGTCACAGCTTTCTGGGATGAGGGGGACACTAACACTGTGCTGGCAGGACCACCCAGCTGTGCTGAGCCTGGGTGCTGAGGCCAGACTGCTGCCCCAGGGTCAGGCTCCACCACTGTCTCCACCACAAAGCTCTTCCGCGGGTGGAGCCCACCTCACACAGCTGCCAGGGGATTTAGTACATGGTAAGAATTAGCTTTCATCACTATTAAGAACCAATGCTTTACATATACACAGTCACTGCTCAGAAACGTGTGACATCCTGAATGCCAGAGCTTGGAAGGCCCTTAGCTGTCATCACACACACAACCTGCTCGCCTCACAGATGAGGGAAGTGAGGTGCAGACACAGCCTGATGCTGGGCCGTGGTGTTCCTTCTGAGTTTATTCCATACTTCTGAGGTGTAGGGTAGGTGCCGAGGAGGAGGTTCCTTCCTGGAACCCAGCTGGTGGGAGAGGCAGACCGGACAAGGACAAGTCAAGGGTAACACAAGGCAGAGAGGGTGGGTGAGGGGAATGTGGGAACAAGGGGGGCACCCCAGGTAGGAGCTCCTGCAAGTACAAAACTCAGAGAAGGCCTCACATGGCTCTGATGGTCCCCACCACACTCATGGGAAACGCAGGGTCACTTTTAGCACCGACTGCCAACCGCTCCCTGCATCTGCGCCAGGTTATTTCATGGGGCCACATGCCCCCCACAGGCAGCCATGGCTATTTGGGCTTTGCCAGCAGGCACCCTGAGCTTTAGCCTGGTTCAGAGCCGGGCACACAGCAGGCCCTAGAGGGAAACCACATACCAGCAGGAAACTTCCCTCTGAGAATCACTGGCCAAGGCACAGAGGCCTGGCCAAGGCCCTGGCCCTGCAGGGCCCAATGCCTCGCCGCAGACAGCAGGCATGCAAGAACCACTCACGCACGCACCTGCTGCGTCCACACTCTCCTTCACAACGATCTCCACCCGCTCCACGTGGTGCCGGTTCCAGAGGCTGTCCAAGGCCTTGCGGTTCTGGTCTCGGAAAGGCAGGATCTGAGCCACGGCCTGTCAGGGAAGAGGACTGTGTACTGTGGGTTCTTCTCAGTGAAGAGAGAGCCCAGCCTTGAAGGGCTGCAAACGTCTCTATTCCCTCCGCAGAGGAGAAGGCGCTCTCTGAGCAATAGTTCCCAGACCTCAGGGTTTCACAGCCCAGGGAAGGACTCCCAAAGCTTTCCAGAGACCTCCATGAGGTTACCGACTTTGCCAAGAAAGAAAATATTTTAAATTGCCCATCTCCTGTTCTTATTAACGTTTAATAAAATTAAGGTAACACCAAAAACATAGCATGAGATGTTTCAAGCTGAACTCATTCAGTATTTGTTCTCATTTTGCCATAACCAAGTGACAACTTCCCCAGGACTGGCACTGCTCAGAGCACCACTAAACTGGGTGGGATAGAACATGATGCCTCTGTCCTCGACAACTCTCTGTAGCCACATGGCCCTGGGCTCCCCAGCCTCTGGACCCAAGAACACAGCTGCTGGTATACTCTCTGCAGGGGTTTCTGGCACTGGTTGCCCAGAAGGGCCTCTGAGCAATGTGCAAGTGAACCGGCCAGCGACCTGCATCACTCAAGAGGTCAGCCCCATGCTCCTGTCCCAGGCCTGGCTAAAAAGCATAGCCTTAAGAGTCCCACTGCTCCCAACTTGGTTTTAAAGATCTTGTTACCAGCCTGTGGCTCAAAAGAGAACTTGGGAAGACTTTGAAAAAGGGCAGGTGGGTGCAGAATAAGAAAGCTAATTTGAATTCCTACAGCATATATAACTGGAAGCTGCCTGCAGACACCAGAATCCCTGGACCACATGTGGAGAGGATACAGGGTAGTGCTGAGACCTCAGAGCTCAGACCCTGGCTGGGAAACAAAGAGAACCAAGGATCTACAGAGAACAGGAGAGGCTAGATGCACAGACAAGGATCACAGTCCTGCTCCGCTCACCTACTCACTCCTTTTCCTTTGACCCTTGCCTCCTGCTCACCTTCAAGGAGGCCACGGGAGCACAGATTTCACTATGCCTTTAGGCCTAATTCCACCCTTGGTGGTGTGGCTCTCTTGATGGGGTCCACTGGCACCCAGCTAACCCCAACACTGGTAGGCTCCAAGCTGATGCTCACCTGCTTGCCCAGGTAATGGTCCACCCGGTACATCTCCTCCTCCTGGAAAAAGCTCCCGAGCTCTGTGGCTAGCTGCTGGGCTGAGTGGTGGTCATGGCCAAAGGGTTTCTCAAGGACCACGCGCAGCCAGGCGCCTGGGCCTGGGCGGCAGCTGCTGTTGATATTACGGGCAATGTCTACATAGGCGAAGGGTGGCACAGAGAAGTAGAAAATCCTGCCAGCCTCCTGGAGGCCTTCGTGCTGGATCTGTGCCTCAATGTCCTTGCTCAGAGCCCGGTAGTCCTCAGCCGTCTTCAGCTGGCGGTACTGGCTCAGCTGCAGGAACTGATCTTTGCGTTCAGCACAGTGACTGGGTGCCACGTCCTTGGGACAGGAAAGGGTTTCCAGGGCCTTGGCCATGAGCTCTTGGCCCTGCTTGGGGGCCGTCAGGGCAGCCCCATGAAAGCTAAAACGGTGGCCCTTCCCTGCCTCATCCAGGTAGAGATGGAAAAGCCCCTGCCATAAGTACTTCTTGGCCAAGTCTCCAGTTGCTCCCAGCAGGATTACGGAAACATGTCCCTGGGGCTGCTGGGCCTGCAGGCAGCCCAGAAGGGCCACGCTCACCGCCACTGTGAGCATCTTCCAAATGCCTGGGTGCCTGGGGTGCACAGAAAGACAGACAAGGAAGGAGGAAGTATCAGACATGCTTCTGGTGGCTGTGACACAGAACAAATACATTTCCTGGGCATCACATATTTCCTGCCTGGCAAGAGACAGCCACATGTTTCTTGAGAAAATGTCACAGGCCCATAGCTCTCCCATCCTGGGCAGCTGTGCCAGGAAGTCAGTGAGTATGGAGCCTGCCTTGCAAACAAGGACAGTGCCTGGGGAGGTTGTAGGCCACTTGCTAGATGTGACCACTTGCTGCCAGGGGCACAGGAAAGTGGCACAAGCCACCAGGGAGGCCCACAAGGCTGGGAGTGGAGCTGACCATTCTATGACAAGGCCAATCTCATCCAGGGGCAGCACAGGTCACCAGGACCAGCAGGGCAGGCCACAGATGACAGCTGGCCCTGTGAGAGGATACGATCACCTCATCTCACCTCTCGCTCTCCTTTTACCCACATGTACTAGGTTCCAAGTACAAAATCTCCAAGACTAAGACTTACTACAGCAAAGCAATTACAAACACACTGTGGAACCAGCTGCCTGGCTTTGAATCCCAGCTCAACCCCTTAGTAATGGGACAATTATTCAACCTGGCTGTACCTCAGTTTTCTCATTTGAAATGGGGGTAAGAATGACACCTACATAAGAGTTGTTATAAGGATAAAATGAGTTAATGTTTAGATTATACTTAAGACAGTGCCCACCACCTATTAAGCAGTATGAAGCTGTAGCTATCATCAGCTGGAAGCCACCTCAAATATATTCATAATAGCAGCAAACACTTAATGTTAGTATGTGCCAAATACAAGTATTTATGTTCATTAGCTCTCACTGAATCCAGACAAGAATCCCAAACAGAACCACATGGGGTAGCTCCTATCACAGCCCCCTCTTTTACAAAGCTGAGGTTCAGACAGATGACAGTCCCGTGATGAGGAAGTGGGGAGCTGGACTGACAATAGACCCCTGGCTCCTGAGCTACGCAGGCTGCAATTGCATGCTACAGCCCCCAAGTAAGCCCACTGCTGGCTAATGTCCAGGTCGAGGCAGCTGCTGCAGGGGCCTCGGTCAGGTCATACACATACTAGAGAACTTGTTTTTTTCTGGCTTTCTGTTCTGATGCAGTTTATAGGGTTTACTGCGCTGAATTCCTACTCCACAGCCCTGCAGTTCAGTTTCCCACCAAGGCGAGGGCTGTGAGAGAAGGGCAGAAGTGAGGAAGAAGGCCATCAGATAGACAGTGGAGCTCAATTTACAATCGCCAGGATGTGGAAACAACCTAAAATCCCTACAACTCAGGAATGGATTAACAAACTATGCTACATGCACACCACAGAATACTATTAAGCCATAAAAAAGATGGTGACTTTACATCTTTTGTAATATTGTAGATGGAGTTGAAACACATTCTTGTTAGTAAGTATCACAAGAATTGAAAAGCAAATATCCAATATACTCAATAGTAATATGAAGCCAGCAGGTGACTCAATGCATGCCCAAATAGGAGAAAAGCTCATTTCAATTTAAGTTGGGATGAGGGGTATCGAGGGAGGGGGAAGAGTTTGGGGTGCTCTCACTGAATGCACATGGGGTGGGAGTTTGAGTACCTTTTGAGTACATAACCAGGAGACAAACTCTACCTAACAAAATCAATTATTTTGACCTGGTTGCTTGTACCTTCACATTAACCTGAAGTAAATTTACTTAAAATTAAAAAAAAAAAAAAGAAGACAGTGGAATTTGGGCCCCACCCAGGAGTGGAGTAGAGAAGAAGGAACTAAGATTACAGGTTGAGCACCTATTACGTGCCAGGCATCCTAGTAGATACAGGATTAACAAAATCTCCAACAATCTTAGGAGGCTGCAATCTGGAATGCAAATAGGGAAACTGAGTATTATTTGTTTTTTTTTTTTTTTTGAGACAGAGTCTCCCTGTATTGCCCTTGGTAGAGTGCCGTGGAGTCACAGCACACAGCAACCTCAAACTCTTGGGCTTAAGCGATTCTCTTGCCTCAGCCTCCCAAGTAGCTGGGACTACAGGTACCCGCCACAACACCCAGCTATTTTTTTATTGCAGTTGTCATTGTTGTTTAGCTGGCCCAGGCTAGGTTCAAACCTGCCAGCCCTGGTGTATGTGGCTGGTGCCCTAACCACTGAGCTATGGGCACTGAGCCGGGAAACTGAGTTTTAAAGAGATAATAGGACTCATATTAACAAAAGACGCCACAGAATGGTTGGCTTACCTTCTCCCCACCACACCGTAATATAAGTGGACTGAATCTCTGGACCTGCCATCAGACCTCCTTGCCCTACCTCTCCCTTGCCTCTTCTAATTTCTCTCCAGATCCACCCCCAAGGGGGCCCTGGCACCAAGATGAGGACCTAACTACAGTGTGTGCGACAGTGCCTACAGGACACCTGACATTTCCATCACTGGAGCGCGACCTGGAGGGGCTCTCCAGACTTCCTCCCCCACCCTCTTTTCATCTGCACTCACCCCCAAATACATGAAGGGGCCACAAGACCCTTCTATTTTTTTCTGCTTTCCAATCCCTGTCCTTGGTCCTTGAAGCATTTTTCTCAACTGGTAATCACTGTGTCGGAGGGAAGGAAGAGCTGCAAGGTCAGCGCGGGAGTGAGGCAGTGAGAAACCTGAAGCCCAGAGAACAGCCTGGAGAAGGGGGAGCGGCCAGCTGGCAGCTGCATCTCAGAGCTGCTGATGGAGCCTGGAAGCCGGGGCTCTGGATGTGCCTGGAACAAGAGAAGGAGCCCAGGCACCTCAGAGTGCCAGGACAGGCAGGTAGGGGGCCTTAGGGGCCAGCACCTCACCCCAGACCACAGACAACTGTGCTGTGTAGCTGCCTGGCCCAAAATGACTCCTCTGATTACTCCTGACTCCGAAATCTCATGGCAACCCTCCCTGACCAGTCCTGCTCCAGATCCCCAGTTCTAGGTTAGCTTCCATTACTTATCTCCCGATTTATGTTCCCAGCACTCCTTTAAACAAATCCAGGGTATCAGGTATTTCAAAATGGTTGCTTACTCTGTGGTTGCAAAACAACTCTTTCTTAAATGGGTGTGGGTAGTATGTTGTACATTTGGTTTTATCAGCAAGCTTCTTAACCTTAACAGTGCTTTTCAAACTTGATAATGCATTTGAATTTCATGGGGTTCTGTTTTACAGATTCTGATGCAGAAGACCAAGGAAGGGTCTATGGTGCTGATAGTTGCTCCAAAGAGCATACTGTGAGTACCGAGACTCCAGAATACCAAGCAGAGTTCTAAAGCAACGGAATATTCGAATCAAGACACACACCTACCCTCCTCCTCCTTTCACCAGGAGAGAGAAGTTTTGATTCAGCAGGTTCAGGGTAGGTCCTGATGTAAGTATTTCAATAACAGCCTCAGATGGCTTCATTTGCAAAAACTGGTTACTAACTACTGATGACACCTGCTCACCAAGTATCTCCACCAATCCTCACAGCATCCTTGTGAGAAAGGTTCTATGAAGAGTCTCATTTCACCGCTGAGGAAACTGAAAGGAGAAACAAACTGCCAAGTGCAGGGGTGTGATGGCTCGCACAGTAATCCTAGCACTTTGGGAGGCCGAGGCGGGTGGACTGCCTGAGGTCAGGAGTTTGAGAACCTGAGCAAGAGTGAGACCCCATCTCTACTGAAAAATAAAAAATAGCAGAGTGTTGTGGTAGGTACCTGTACTCCCAGCTACTGGGGAGGCTAAGACAAGAGGACAGCGTGAGCCCAAAAGTTTGAGGTTGCTGTGAGCTAGGATGCCACTGCACTCTACCACGGGTGACAAAGTGAGACTGTCTCAAACTAAATAAAATAAAATAAAGCAAAATAAAATAAATCAATGAAAAAACCTCTAGTGAGAAGTCTGAGAAGCTGTAGGAGAGGTCAGGGTATGAGACTGGGAATGAAATATGTGGCGATCTTGCCCGGGGCCTCCCCACAACCACATTACCTGGAACGAGTCATTTAACCTGGCTGGGCCTCTGTTTCCTCATCCTGAAAATGAAAGTCTGAGTAAAGGATCTCTGTGATATTTTCCTGCCTAGGTCCACCAAGGAAAGGAGACACCCACCCTGCTACACCTTCTACCCCTGGACCGATGGAGCAGGGCAGGGAAAGAGCCAAAATAGGAACCAAAGAGCTGACAACTGTGTGTCGCTTGAAGGTAAGACAAAATTCTTTGAAGCTATGAAGTGTGTGGAGCCTGCAATTTCATTTACAATTCTTATTCAAAATACGTGCCAGAAATACACTCACTAAACAATACTGTGCTCTGGGGGCTCCTATAGGTAGGTGGAAAAGACCTACAGGCTCATCTTAGAGTTAGGACTGGACTATGGGGTACCCAGTCCCAAGCACCCTTCACCGTCCCCAACTCCATGCCTCGGAGGCTCCTGCCAGTCCTTGTGAGAGAGACTCACCTGTTAAAGAAGGTCTCTGCTAACATCCCAGAAGGTGGGAACACTGGCCTGGCCAGCCAGGAAGTTTGGGACCGAATCCAGGTTCCGATCTGTTTCTGCCCAAGAGGAAGAAGCAGATCTGGTCTCTTCCCCATGTGGCTATCCCTGCCCAGTCCCAGCGCAGACAGACCCAGCCGGTGCTACAGCTCCCGCCCTGGAGAGTTTCTGGTAAACCACTAGAGGAAGCAGTTCTAATTTTTCATGCCCAGGAGACAAGTGGTCAAGAGGTAGGAAAAAGGAGCCAGAAGGTAAAGGTCAGTGGCAGCTGCCACCCTGTCCCCTGACCCAGCCTTTCACAACGCTACCTTCTGTGCACAAGAGTGGAAGAAAGGAAATTTTCTCCAAGTCATGACCCATGAGTTTGGAATTTTAAAAAGATCATGTGGGAGTAAAACAAGAATTCAAACAAAATACCATTTTTAAATTGAGGTACAAAGTAACGCGGCCAAGTATTTTCCGGCACCCCTCCCTTCTTGTTCTGGCCCCTCTGTGCCACGTGCATCAAACCAGGAGCAAACCATTCCCATCTGCAGGTCCCAATCCTGGGTCGCTACCACCAGGAACATGCTGGAGCCGTCTTGTACCTGCACACAAGATCCGAATGCTAAATTTCCAGGAATTTTTCAAGCCGGCTGTTAAACACAGTCATTATTTAAAATGGAATTATACACATTTATAATTAAATTATATAAAAACAGGTAATACTCAAAACTCATCACTTCCTAACCATCTGACTACATTGTACTCCTATCTATGCTCTTGACATTGTTTCCATCTACTGTACCTGTGAGGTGAAGATATTCTATAAAGGTGTGTTTGAACATGGCCAGTGTGGGAATGCTGACACCAAGGATACTGGCAAAGATTTTAAATCAGGCTTCTCACCACCAACCCCTACCCCTTACAGAGTCAGCTGTTAAACATTCGCCAGCACACAACTGCCTACACAGGCATCTTCATCTCCAGCCTGGATTTCTCCCCTGAACTCCAGACCCACACATTCAACTGCTATTCCAACGGCATTTGTTGGATGTTTACCAGACTTGTAAAAGATTGAACTGATTTATTTCCCAACCTACTTCAAATGCAGCTTTCCCCATTCTCAGTGAAGGGCCACTCTGTCCGTCTAAGCGTTCAGGTCATCTGATCTGTCAGCACATCCCAGTTCCTACCTTTGAAATTTATCTAGAACAGAAGGCACCATCATCTGTCTAGATTACTGTAGGACCCTCCTAATTGTCCTCCTGTATCTACCTCTGGACTCTGTACAGTTGAACCTCAACTCAGCAGAGTGACCTTTGTATAGTGTTGGCTGGACCATGTCATCCTCTGTTTAGAGGTCCACATGGCCTTGCACTCTGGCCTTCCGTAACCTCTCCGTGCTCTTCTCCTCCCATTCTGCCCCTCTCCAGGCCCCAGTCGCCCATCCTCCAGCTGGGCCTTTGCACCAGCTGTTCTTCCTGCGTGGCCTACTCCCCACCTGCTCTGTGCAGATGTGCACATGGTTCACTTCCTCACTAACGTCAATCCTTTGCTGAAATATCACCTGCTCGGTGAGGCTTTCTCAAACCTCTCTGCAAAACTGTAAACCTCCCACTCCCATCCTGGTTGACTTCTCTCTGGAGTCCGTATCACTTCTTGCATGCTGTATGATAATTACATTTATTTGGCTTATGACCCGCCACTCTTTCCCACAGAAATGTTAAGTGGCAATGAAGACAGTGGTTTTTGCATGTTTCACTCTCTGCAGTACCTCAGCATCCAAAACGGGGCCAGGGATATGGAAGGCGGCTCTATAAATATTTGCTGAATGAAGAAATAAATCCCATTTGCACAGGACCACTGCCATTTCTGCAAATGAATGATGGCACAAAGGAATAACTTTAACGGCAACTTCAAGCAAGGCCAAGGCCAACCTGGCAGCTTCCACTTGTAACAATACTAATAATAATAAAAGAATTATTTATAGAATATTTAACTGCATGCCACTGCTAGGCTAAGAGTTTGACATGTGCCTCCTACCATTTAATTCTTGCCACAATTCTATGAGGTAGGTACTATTATTATCCTCATTTTAGCAATGAGTAGGGAGGAAGACAAGGTACAGAGAGGTAAAATAACTCCTGAAGGTCAGGTACCTTAGAAGTGATACGTTGTTAATATAGGCAGTCTGGCTCTAACCCCCCCACCTTGAAGGTGTGACTGCATCCTCAAATGGCCAAAATGTTTTTGTTTTTTGGTTATTTTGAGACAGAGTCTCACCCTGTACTCTGGGTAGAATGATGTGGCATCATAGCTCACAGCAACCTAAACCTCTTGGGCTCAAGTGATCCTCTTGCCTCAGCCTCCAGAGCAGCTGAGACTATAGGTGCCCACCACAATGCCCGGCTATTTTTTTTTTTTTTGAGACAGAGTCTATTTCGCCCTTGGTAGAGTGCGGTGGTGTCACAGCTCACAGCAACCTCAGACCCTTGGGCTTAAGTGATTCTCTTGCCTCAGTCTCCCAAGTAGCTGGGACTATAGGTGCCCGCCACAACACCCGGCTATTTTTTTGTTGCAGTTGTCGTTGTTTAGCTAGCCTAGGCTGGTTTCAAACTGGCCAGCCTTGGTATATGTGGCTGGCACCATAACCAGTGCGCTACAGGCGCCAAGCCAACACCTGGCTATTTTTAGAGATGGGGTCTCCCTCTTGCTCAGGCTGGTCTCGAACTCCTGAGCTCAAGCAATCCACGTGCCTTGGCCTCCCAAATGGCAAAATGTGAAATGTAGTACTAGATATTGGTTCTACTTCTCCAAAGGGCTAGAACAAGAGTGGTTTAAGCCAGACAAGCTATTTCTTTGCTCCATGAGGTCAAGTTGCTCTGAACACTAACTGCCATGAAGTGGCCTCTGCCTCCCAGGTCCACTTGGCCTAATTGTGATTCACGCTCCTCCCTTCGGAAATCAACTAAGACATCATGCTTAGGCCTGAGCTGCCCTGTTAAAACCTGGAAAACCCTCAAGGGCTAGTTTCTAGAGAAAGGGCTAAGTGATTGAACTCTGGATTCAAAACTTTTCTGTGACCTCAGACAAGTTATTTAACCTCTCTACTTCAACCACAGAATGGGAAAGTAAGTCCATGACAAACGCAAAATAAGATAATCGACGTACAACATTTAGCAGGATGCTTGGCATACAGTAAGCACTCAAGAAATGTGAGCTTTCATCATTAAGCCATTGGCATCATGAACCAAAGCCTTCTTGCTAGCTTCTTGGAACTGCTGTAAAACCAATTAACCATTCAAGCCGGAAAAAAAAAAAATGCCAAGGAACAACTAACTCATGGGCAGTGTATCCAATCATACTGATGAAAAATTAAAGGGATATAATGCATAATTTAAAAGATGACTATTCTACGCCAGTTTTCCCTTATCTGCTACCCTCCATGAGCCATGGGCCTGTTAGGGTTGGGAGAGGGGGTGGGCAAGAATCTCAGACTTATGATCCAGAAGTTCTCATTTCTGGCTAAGCATTTCAGGCTGGGTGAGCGGATTTTCAGAGATGCAGAGAGAGATGTTTGCTTCTGGAAAACCATTCACCGGATTGGTGTAGTGGAAATGCTTTTGAAACCCGAGGGCTAATGCCAAAGACTAAGCGTATCCCAAGGGGAAAGGCACGGAAGTTCCCACTATCCTTCAACTCAGTTCCAGGAAACCTAGGAAAAGGGACGCGTGGGCCCACGGGGCTCCCTGGCGGAGGCCTCGCTGCCTCCTACTGAGCCGCCACCAAACCGCACCGCCGCCCCGGCAGTGCAGGGCAGGAAGTGGGGGCTCGATGACTCTGCGCCAGGACGGCCGCCCAGGTCTGCGAGCAAATCGCGGGAGGCTCCGGCCACCACGCGTGCCCAGCTCCCGGGCCAGGCTTTAAGAAAGGCAGCGGCCGTCGGCAAGCGGGGGTGGCAGCTTACTTCATCTTGCTTGTCAGAGCCGGCCGCTCCTCCGGGAAAGACCGGGCGGCGGGGGCGCGGTGCTGCGGGACGGGCTTCCCGGCGCGGGCCTGAGACCGACCCGGGCCCGCGCCTCCTCTTCCGCGGCGGCCGACAGCAGGGCAGCCGCCCCGACAGGTGCGCGCGTCACGCGGCCTCGCGCCTCACCGCTCGGATTTTGCCCGCGGAGAAGGGGACCGCGAGAGGGGAGGGCGCGAGGCCAAGGCCAACCGGGCGACAGCCCCGCGCCAGGCCTCAGGCCACCGCGGCCTAGCCCCAGGGCCAGGGCCAGGGCCAGGGCCCGGGCGCGCGCGCTCTGAGGCCCGGGCCGCAAGGCGCGCGCGCAGGGCGGGGGTTGGGGCGCGCGGAGGAGGCGCAGGCGGAGCCACGCCCTCCCTGCGGGCGCCGGGGCGGGGTGGGGCGGAGCCTCGGGCTGCCCTATCTGCGCAGCCCTCCTCTCCCGCCCGAGGGCCTGCTGAGTGCTCAGTAGGGGTTGCCCTGCTGCGTCGGAGACGCGCGAGTACCCCAGAAGCTCAGGAGGAGCTCCCCTGCCCTGCTAGTCTCCAGGCCTCGCTCTTCCCCATGTGTAGAATGAACGGCTTGGTCGTTCCATATTCAATACCCAGGGGGTCAGAGCGCACACCTCCCGCGACCGCTTCTCGTTTCTGTTACATTGTAAATGTAATTCTGCTTATGCCACTATGCGGCCTTGAGACTCAGTTTCTTCATCTGTATGATGGGGACAGTGGGAGTTGTCAGTGGTTTTCTGACAAGGGATAAATGCGTATTAAGCGGTAGCTTGTACCTGTGAGGCTTTAAGAAAGGCAGCACATGGAATAAGGCCATCTCTGTAGGGCGAGAGAGGTGTGTAAGTGAGATGCGACTCAGCTGCCTCTCAGCACTGGGTGGGTGGTCACTCAGTCCTCCATCCTGCTCCTGTGGCTTTCAGGCAGTACGTTACCCTCACCTTGCCCAGCCTCGTGCCTGTGCCTGCTTTCCTTGGACCCTGCCAGTGCCCTATATGGCCCTTGCTGTTGAAGAGCCTTTCTTTCTTCTGTGGTCTTTCTCAGCGGAACCCAAGTGACCTTAGGTTAATAATCCAGGCTCCTGATGTAGGTGTCCCGGGCCCTGTCCCCACTGCTGAAGTGTCAGGTTCTGTCCCTTCTTCCGACCCACCTCCAGCCTCCTTCACAACAGAAGAGTGCATGGTCACCTCTGCTGAGTATCACTGGACCACCCAAGAGGGGAGATTCTGACTTGAGAGAGAAAACTTGGAACAGCTTTCTATTTCCTGATGGTTCCGTTAGAGGTGATAGCGTCAGAAACTAGCAGAGGGAACTTGGCAGTGGCCAACAGGATCGTGTGGGGCCAACAGGCATGATTACCACACAGGATGTTGGGCAAAAGGGGTTCCAGGAAGGCTTGGGAGCCAAGGGGGGTTGGGCCTCACTGTCACCAGGGCAGGGGCCATCTGCACCTGCAGAGGGCTGCATCTCCTCTAGAAGGATTTCGGTCATACAGAGTGGGCCTGAAGGAGGGGGTGCCAAGGGCCAGGACCCTCTAGGCCACCCCCACAACTGGATGTGAGCAGGAGGATTCAGGGCAGGGGCCAGCCGAGCTGGACTCGGGTGATGCCAAGACTGTTGGCCTGGAGCCTATCCCATGTTCCCTCACCTTGGGTGCGTCATGCACCCACACACTATGAGAACCGGGGCCAAGGACAGCGCAGATGGGAGTGGGCCGGTGCTCAGAAACCCAGGAGAGTTGAAGGGCATTTCTCAGACCTCTATGCAGCCATCACAGGGTGACTTTCTGTTACTTTGAGAGCGTCCCCAAACCAAGGCAGCTGTAACCAGCTTACAAACATGCCTGCGTGCCTATTTATTTAGATCTCGCTGGGGTGGGGTCTGAGGGGGTGGGGTTCTCCAGTGTCACCTTTGCTCTCCCTACTCCTGTGGCCACTCCCAAACCACTCGGAGAAGTTCCATTTCTCTGCCCCTCCTTTCCCCACCTTATCTTCATCTGAGTCTCATTCTGCCTCTGTACCTTTTAGTCTGATCTGAGCACTTGCTTTGCTTTCTTTCCATCATAAAAACAATTTGGTTGTGCTAACCCCCCATCATGAAGGTGTGAGAGTATTATTCTCCCAAAACAAAAATCCGAAACCTGCCCATATGGGCCTATAGGATCGGTTCCAGCATCTTTACCTCTCTGACAATGTTCTCACTTCTGTGCTAACTGCAGCTACGGGAGACCGGGTGTGCCCAAAACCCCATGAAGGAAGCCAGAAGAGAGGACAGATGCCCCATGGGGGTGTCCTATGACCAGAATTGTGTCTGCAGTTTATCTCATGCTTGATAAGGAATACCCGAGGGCTCTATTTATGGGAGATGATTTTTTTTTTTAATTTTCTTCCTGGTCCTTAAACCGTGGGGTAGGCAGAAGTCAGGGTTAATTCAGCC